GATCACAGGTACATCAGGTGTGGTCGTATGTAAATGGCTGTAATTCCTTAATAAAATGACAGATTTCCATGGAATTTGGCACACATTCTTAGAACATCATTCTAAAAACTAATGTTTCTGCTGTAACGATGAAAATGACTTTTGCGTTGGGTAGATCTGAAACTGTATGGGTGTTGTTGTTGTTGTTCACATACTTGACTTTCTAGATCCAAGCTTTCGGCATTGAGCTCATTTGCATCTTTGTGTATCTAACTGTTTGTTTTGTTTCACAGTTCCTCCCAAAATCTATGACATTTCATCGGACATTACGGTAAACGAAGGCAGCAATGTTTCACTCATCTGCTCAGCCAGTGGGAAACCAGAGCCCAAAATCTCTTGGAGACACATCTCCCCATCAGGTGAGTTCAAATCAGTTAAAATACATTACAATAAATTAGACAGAATATGAGATTGACTTTAAAACACAGTAGAAATGTCTTTCCAAGTTGTTCAGCATGTTGGAGTTTAGAGGCTCAGAAGATTATGGTGATGAAACTAGCATGTTTCTTTTTTAAAACCTCTATAAAGAATTGAGTTTAGGAAAAGGCTTTTAATCAATTATTGCTTCAATTTGCTGTTGTTCTCAGAAAGAATTCTTAGTTTAAGTCATCACTCTGCTGCAGGTTAAACAACATGTGAGGATACATCAACCTCATCTTTACCTTTCATAGTTTATATTTAGCTGTTAAAGCAAAAAAAAAAAAAAATAAAAAATTTGGCACATTTTCAAAGCGAATTGAAAATTCATTGCACAGAAGTATTTTTGAGTGCTTGTGAATTTTTATTGAAGTCAGCTTCACTTATCTTTGGACTGCCATATTTATTTATTTCTCCAGTGTATTTTGTGATTAAATTGCTTTTTGAGATTCTGATCAAAACAATTTGAAGCGTCATGAAACCACTACTCACCAAAGGTAGGATATTTCAAATTATAGAAACACTTAAAACCAGACGATAAGTGCATCAGTAATTTAAAATAAAAAGTCCTTAGACAACTGTCCTACATATGGTGAACTTTTACTTTTGGTCAACAGATTCAGTCTGGCCCAGATGTGACTGAAAGCCATTTGTCTGAACTATTCTTCTTCAGGCTAATTAACTTCTGTATGGGAAGAGAGGATGACAATGAGTAAGAGCCAGTGACAATAGAAACTTTTTTAAGATACTGCTGCCTCTGCCACTGAAGGATGTGATGTTCTGAAAATATTCATGTACAATTCTTACATTTTCACTGTGATATTGTCAAGGATTCACATGCTGACAGAGAGCAAAGTCAAAATGACACAAAAATATGTTTGAAACATATGGTTGTACGAGGCTACAAATGTGTGTGTGTGTGTGTGTGTGTTGCACGATATATCGTTTCAGCATCGATATCGCGATGTGCGCATCCGCGATAGTCACATCGCAGGATGTGCGATATTTAGTATAGGCTACTGATCGTTATATTTATACTGATTGTTTACTTTGCTCACACACAGACACGGTGTCTACACCGGACACGACAGCTGTACAGAGATACCCATTTTAAATAAATTTAGTAGCAGAGCTACTTCAAGGGATTTTCAGTGCTGGAAATCCATTTATCCTTTGTTGAAACTTCCACGTCGTCGCGGAGAGCGCAGGTCACGGTTGCTTAGCAACGGCAGACGCCATGAAAGCGCAAGCTCCCGAGCGCTTTGGAAAGAAGGAGAAAGCGGTGCGGCTGGCGTTTTCCATGCATTTTTAGGCCGTTTTAGGTGAACGGCCCCAAAGTCTGTCTACACTGGATGCGACAAAGCGACCTTTGCAAATCATTTGAACTTTGTGTCACAAAGCGATCGTTGCCCATCATTTGAACTTTGTGTCAGTATGTCATAAAGAGAACGCGGCATCAGTTTACTGTCGGGGATTTGTCGTGTCGCGCCACATCCAGTGTAGTCAGTCATACATCATCACTGATTATAATGGGTTCTATAGTATTTTGTCGTGTCGCACTGCTCGCATCCGGTGTAGAGAGTGAGAGCCACGCAGATGCAGGTGAACAATGAATTCTGTTCACTTCTGTGTCTATTTGTGCCTGAAATACTGTGCTCTGCAAGTATCCTTGTAAACGCAGTTGCTTATGGTTTAGGTGAAGGTAAACAACTTATATATATATTTTTTTTCCGATTACATTATTACATACCATCACATATAACAGTATTTGATGCACAAATGGCAGCACTGTGGTAATCGTCAGAGCTGTAATGACAGTAGCTCCTGGACTGTGATTTCCAGTAGTTCTTGAATGACCCTGGAGGAGGCTGAACCTGCAACCTAGATTTAATTGCTGAAACACTCTTAAGTGCAGTTGGCCTCATACGTTTCTTGTGTGTGTGTGTCATCAGACCTTTGACTTCTGTGCCTCTCATTATTGTTTAGAATATAGATTTTTCATCTATATAAATTGGGTAATTACTCTTAAAGACCTTTTAAAGACATTATGCAATTAAGACCTCTCAAAGACCTCTGACTTGTAATGATGAACAGACTTCAATCTGACACAAAGGTTTGGTCCCAAGAAGCATTTGTTGTAAATGGTAGTTGACTTGGCAGCTTGATCGCATTAGTATGCTCAAAGGGATAGTTCACCCCCCCCAAAAAAAATAAAAAAAATAAAAAATAAAATGATTTACTCACCCTCATGTCGCTCGAAACCCATAAGACTTTGGTTAATCTTTGAAACACAAATTAAGATATTTTTAATGAAACCTTATCGGTTTCTAAATCACATGTGGTAAACATAGAATAAAAAAAGCAAAATTAAATCTGTTCATCATATAAAGCAATCATATCTATTCACAAGACTTCACTGAAAGAAATTAATCTGTAAAATAACAACAACAACAAAAAAGTACTAGCAGCTCATTACCAGGACATTATGCATTCAAATGAATACAGTACATTGTGCCCTATTTTTGCAGATTTTTTAGAGTCTTGGATTAAACACTCGATTCTTATGGATTAATTTTACAATGCCTTTATAACCTCTTTGGATCTTTTAAGATTTGATTACCTGGACTTTCAATGAATAGACAGAAACCTCTCAGATTTCATTAAAAATAGCAAAATTTGTGTTTTGAAGATTAACCAAAGTCTTGCGGGTTTGGAAGGATATGAGGGTGAGTAAATGATGACAGAATTTTCAGATTTTAGTGTACAACATACAATATGGATGCACTGACATCATCTAAAAGGAAAACGTGTTTACAACTTTAGAAACATAATTTCACAGCGTGAATCCTTTATAATATAAATATATATTTGTATAGTCACATTTTACTATGATACAGTACAGAATGAAACTGATAAAATGTCAGATTGCATAAATGCATTAAGTAAATGTGATGCTGTTGAACTTATTTAATGTCATTGATTAAATACAATAAAATCAACCTATAAATTCCATGAATTCAGTAATTAATGATATGTTACTAAGCTGTTCATAAGCAAAATGCTTGTTTTAGTTGCTGTCAATAATGTATGCTTCAGTTTCTAAAACATGTGCTAGAACCACACATTACGTACGATCATGTTGGATTGTCTCGCAAGTAGGCAGCATGCTCTCTCACCGCTGTAGGTTTTAAATGAGAGCTAAAGAACTTTAAATGAAAAGTTCTTTGTCTAAGCTTTAAATCACACTCTTTTAACACTTTCAGTACTCAGGGCATTTAAAATTGCTTTACAAACATGATTTCAAATGCTGTAGACTAGATTAAGATAGATCCTAAAGTGAGCCTTATATAGAGACGTATTGAGGTTACAGGGCTGCCTCATGCTCTCTGTACAGCCTGGCCCAGCACGCTTGATCCCAAACATGCTTTCATAAGCTATTTCCATTGTGATTTAAGACCTCGGGATATAAGGAACTCTGACCTTTCAAATAGCTGACTATAACACTTCAGATTAGATTTTTTTCCCTTATATGATAAGGCTACAGAGAAGTGTTCAATTGTCCTTTGTCAATCCTTTGTTCATGCCTCTGCCTTCCGAAATTGTCTTTACTCTGGTTTATTGTTTCCTGAACAATAGCTCTGTACTCGGCGCTGACAGTCTGTCTAAACATCGCCAAATGGTTTCAATACAATGACCAGCTCTTAAAAAGTGCTTGGACCGATATTCAGCAATTGTTTTGGGGCACTTTGGGACAATGAGGAGGCTATCAGGGTTAAGGTGAGATACCGGGAATAGAAAAGTGGAGGAGGTTCAGGTGCATGTGCATTTTGTGTGCGAGATCGAGCGAGCGAGCATGTGTGGCGGTTGAATGATGGTTGATGGTTCATTGCTGACAACTCAATGAATGCCTGGGGGAAGCCTCTCATAATGCAACATTTGGGCTGCCGCAGTATTCTCTCACGGGTTAACGGAAGAGATATACAGAGAACTGCCACCATAGCCCATAATGTATTCTTCACCAGCGCTCATCATATCAGCAGCAGGCAGACCTCAAGGAAATGTACTTTGTACTCTCCACACAATGTGGGAAAGTGCTTACTGTGACTGCACTTAACACAGAGCAATGTGGAATCCTAGATTAACCTTGCTGTGATTTGGCTAATTTGGTTGGAGTGACATTTCCCAGTGGCTACGACGAGTCTGTCTTGAGCTTTTCAAATAACTCTTAACATGCACAATATGGGAGGCAGTCGAGATTGCGGATGATAAGGGGCAAGTTTACACTGAATACATTTCAGGCACGTAATCGGTGTCCCTTAAGCCTTTAAAATGCTCCAGTTTGTGTTTTTTTGGTTTATAGCAAACAAGTTGGTTGACATAACAAAGGTTGATTTCACAAAGGGATCCATTCTTTATTAAATGTCACTAAACCATGGTAATTTCCTCTTTTGGTATAATCAGTAAGATAAATGATGATTCATTGTGAAGCCTCTTTTAGGAAAAAGAAAATAAATCACTGACGTAAGGGAATTATGGAGTGAGTTAATCACTGATAAAGATCCCTCTGGTGTTTAGCTCGAGGAAGAAATATGGTAGGTTGTAGTCAATGTTTGTTAATTTTGTAAGTTTGCCTTTTACCTCTTACCTCGGAACAGTTGTTTTATTAATGTGATGATTGTCATTGCTATGATTTAAAATACAGTTTGCCTTGAAAAAGTATACACAAATAAATGTGTGTGGTTTTCATTTCATTAGGTGCAAAAGCTCAAACCAAGTGATATCTGTAAATAAATGGCTTTTCTCAGAAACTACACTTTTCTTGGCTATTTTTGTAATATTGTTTGACTAACTGGACTCAAGGTAATTTTTAGTAGATGGTTGAAGCCAGTTTTCTTCACGTTCACACAGGTGTTCTAGCACCTTGTTAAAATGATGTTATTTAAAAAAAGATATTGAGAAATGTTTTGCTTAAAGTATGCACGTTATTTTTATTTAAATATAAATGCCACTTGGTTTGGCATTTTGCAGTCTAATGCAATTGCATTTATACATTTTGGTGCCACTGTATATCAGAAGAGTGTTATTTTAGTATTTTGTTTTTATGTATTATTTTTCACTTTAGTTTTAGTCATTTTGTTATGTGGTTTTGTCATTTTTATTTTTTTTTTATTATTATTATATTTAGTTTATTTTTATTTTAGTAATTATATAACTTCAGCTTTAACTTGTTTTGTCATTTGCCAAGGCAACATTTCTGATTTTCATTTTTTTTCATCTAATATTTGTATTTTATACATTAACATTTTCATACCAAATACTTCCTAAGAAAAGCATGCAATATACTGCTTGGCTTAAATCTTATATTTGGTCTTTTGTCAAAGGCTGTTAGCTGTCATGTGAAACACCATGTAGTTTTAATGGTGGGGAAAAAAAGGTTATGGGTGAACAATCTCATACTATTCACTTCCTGATGTCCTTTTCATCTTTGTACAGGCAAATATGGGTGGTTTTGCATGAATATGTTTGATACAATTTATCCTATTTTACAGTCTTTGCCTCTATTAATTTGTAAAGCATTGGGAGCCAAATAGCACCTTGTCAGCTCAGATACACATCTTGATAACGCCAAAGAAAACTATTTTGTTCAATTGTTCAGTTTGTTACAGATGTAATTGTTTTCATGCAACACACACATATTTATGCAAATTACAAAAGGATTGAATAATCTTTGAGCTCTTGTGTTTCTATCAGTGTTGTAGCAGCTAGTCAGAATTATATTTGTGCAAGGATCAGACCAAAATTTAGGATTATGAGAGAAGTAATGATGTTTGATTTGTAAAAGAATCATTCTTTAAAGTCAGATTCTTTCAATGAATCAGTTGATCTAGTTTACAAAAACGATCTGAATTATTATTTCTTGACTCAGATTGATCTGGTTCTCAAGCTCAACTGGCTCAATAATCTGGTCTCAGCTGTTAACAACTCACTGGACAGAGATATCAGCAAATAACAACATAAATATCCATCTGTTTGTCATACAAATCTATCAGATGGCTTCAGAAGATTTCCAATATAGTGAGTAAACCATTTTTTTAAATATTTGCTTTTTTTTGTTTTGAACCTCCAATCCCTGTTTGTTCTTTGTAACTGCATGGTAAAATGCGGCCAGAAAATAATGCAGGTTTGGAACAACATAAGGGTGAGTACATGATGACAGAGTTTTCCTTTTTGGGTGAACTATCCCTTTAAATCTTTCTTAATGTCAGATCTTGAAGCTCTATGATGCTTTACAAAAGACTTGGTAAAAACACACCCCTCCTAAAGCTTTTCCATCCTCCTTTTTTTTTTTTTTTTGCATCGCTCTGCGTGCTTTTTTTATTCTGTGGGGGTTTTGCTGAGTCAGAGACTTCTCATCCGTATGCCAGGATTTACCTCTCTGTGCCATGAGAAAGATTCACTTCACTGTAAAGTGGGATATAAATAGGTTTCACTGAGGAATATTACAATAAGGTTGGATCCTGGTCTAGGTAACCTGGGGAGGTTTTCAGTCCAATAGAAGCGTGGCAGCCCCACGCTGTGCTATTGCCTCTCATTACTCAAGGAACTCAAGTCATATTTGTCATATTGGCACAGTTCTGATTTGCTCACAGTATTTGACGCCAACAATATTCTTCCCTGTGGGAATCAGGCTCACAGGGGAGTCTGCAAAAGCAATTATGTGCCTTAATAAAGCTTTTTTCAGTTCTCTGGGTGCACTTGGGCTTCTTTTCCTGGCTGTTGAGACTCAATGGTGTTTGTACCTTTAAGCATTTAGCCATTAATTAATACATGCCTGCAGAAGAACATTTCTGAAGGATTGTGCTTGTTTATTTTCTTATGTCCACAGCCAGGAAGTACGAAAGCGGGGAGTATTTAAATATCACAGGCATCACTCGGGATCAAGCAGGGGACTATGAGTGCGGTGCCGAAAACGACATTGCTTCACCCGACACCAAGACCGTGAGAGTCACAGTCAACTGTGAGTACCATGTACTGTACTTCTTCTTTTGTTTCTGCTTGTTTACTGTCAGACTTTGTAGAATCACCTGCACAATGACATTGAGTCTTTTTTTCCCTCTTACTGGAGATACCAGCTCTGTTCCATAACCTAGTGAGGCTGTCAACTGTCTACTGCATCCTAACTGAAATGGGACTTTAGAAGTGACCGATTTGAAAAGCTCTACATAGGCAGCAACTCCATGCATTATATAAATAGCAGTCTTCTTGGAAAGCACACAGGAAACTTGCCTCGCAGGTGATTTAAATAGAGTGTGGTGTTAGCATGTTGCTAAGCTAATAAAATGTGTTAAAATCAGTTTTAAATTACATTGAACTATTTTATCGATACTGAATTAAATATAAAGAGTTTTTATATAATAACTTTAAAGAGTAATTATATATTATATAATTATAATATTAATAATGTAATGTTATTTATTATTATATTGGTCATACTTTAGTTTAGGGACCAATTCTCACTATTAATTACTATGACTTTTGCCTCAATAAACTCCTAATATGCTGCTTATTAAATTTAAGTATGAGGTAGGATTAAGGTATGTAAAATATGGTAATGTAGAATGAGGCATTAATATGTGCTTTATAAGTACTAATAAACAGCCAATATGCATGCTAATAAGCAACTAATTAATAGTGAGAATTGGTCCTTAAAATAAAGTCTTACCATTATATTTATATTAATATAATTATAGTAATTATAGGTAATTATAGTTAACTGAAACTAAAACCATAAAAAACATTTTTGTTACTTGAAAAAAAAAAAGTATTAACGGAAATAAAATAAGATATTTAAAAAAAACTTTTTTTGCTGGTTGCCAACATTTCTCATTTTTATTAGTTTTTTTTTATTATTAACTTGATGTACTAAAATAACTTAAACTAAAACTGAAATCAAAATTAATAAAGACTATGTGGACACATAAAAAATTAAGACTACTTAAAGTACTTCAAATTACTAAAAATGACAAACCCACATAACAAAATTAAGTATATATCAAGTACTAAAATAACGCTAATTATATATAATTATATAACAAATTATTTTATAATTTATAATCCACATTTCTGTCATCCATCTTGTTTCAGCTCATTGCAGTACATTCTAGAATTGTTGTCTTCACAAAGAATACATGCAGTGCTGCTTTCGAATTTGGCCTTCCGTAGGCTGCTCACTAGATTTTGAAACAAAACTACAATCTTACTTCTATATCTCCAAGGTAGGCTGGGGTGGAAATTAGAATAGAATTCATGGTACTGGAGTTTCTTAATATTTAACGAGAGAATTCCCTTTTTTGTCTGGGATGGGATGATTAATTTTCAGTGAGGAATGGTCTCAGTGTTATACGGAGTCTTCTGTTATGCAGGTAATGAGTCTCTCAAAGTGTGAAAAGACAGTAATGAGCGCTCCAAGCATTAATGAATTATACTGACTTTACCCATCATGCTCATAGTGAGGATCTGCCTCCCACCAAATACAAGGGGAAGGACACTTGACAGTTTCTTTTCCTCCTCTTTTCTCTTTTAAGTAATTTTGTCTCATCTGCGGTCACAGGGATCATTAATCTCTTTGTCTCTGTATATACCATATGCTGAATCACAGCACAGCAAGAGCACATAAATCAGATAGGCCAACACTCACACCAGAATAAATGTGGCGTTCAGACCATCAAAAGTCAGCTCCCTTTACTATCATGCAAACACAGACTAATGGGCAGATAACCACTTGGAAATGTCAAGATTTGAGCGGGAATGGCTAGATGACAAGGATGAAGTCATAAGTCATATCACATCTCCTCCCCGTCGATTGTATTGACACTCTCTAATGAGGAGTGAATCTGAGAAGATAGAGGAACAGCTCAGTGCTGAGTCTGCTGAGCCGCAATTCTGCAGCTTAATGACCATTTTCAATGAGCAATCCATTTATTTTATAGCCACTATTTTTGCTCTATTCTGCATATGTTTGAGTATATCGGGTTGGATTAGGGGCGAGAGGTCAGGGTAAGACCTAAAATAAGTAGTTAAGTTCACCAAGGCTACATTTATTTGATGAAATATGATTTGATATAATTTGTAATCTGATGAAATGGCATTTTTACATGTAAAATTATATATATATATATATATATTTTTTTTTTTTTTTTAAGAGGTCTCTTAAACTCACCAAGGCTGCATTTATTTCATGAAATAATAATCTGATGAATATAGAAAAGACAGCAATATTGTGAAATATTATTAAAATAACAGTTTTCTATTTTTAATATATTTTAAAATGTAATTTATTCCTGTGATGACAAAGCTGAATTTTCAGCATCATTACTCCAGTCGTCAGTGTCACATGATCCTTCAGAAATCACCTAATTGAATGATTGGCTGTTTGGTTATTATCACTTATTACTGGTGCTCAATTATTAGTAATGATTGTTATTATCAATGTTAAACACAGTTTGTGCTGCTTAATATTTTTGTGGAAACCATAATACATCTTTTCAGGATTCTTTTTTTAATGAATGAACAGCATTTATATGAAATTTAAAATAAATCTTTTGTAACAGTATAAATGTCTTTTCTGTCACTTTTGATCAATTTAATGCATCCTTGCTGAATAAAAGTGCTAATTTTAGTATTTTTTTAATATTACCCTAAACATTTGAATTATTGTGTATTACAGTTTCCTCAAAAAACATGAAGCAGCACAACTATTTTCAACATTTGATGGTAATAAGAAAAGTTTTCCATCAGCCAGTCAGCATTGTCATGACATTTTCCTGTGGCTCTGAAGTGATTAGTCATATCGCATTTACACAAGCGGATGGCTTTCTCCAGGTGTTATAGACCACCCAGAACCGGTTGATTCACAGTGATTTACAGTGACATCTGATGGAAGCAGTAACAGCAGATCCTGTTCCCTTCGCAACATTCTGTTGTAGAGCAGAAAAAAGGGATAGACATAATCCAAATGTATCAATCAAAGCACTTTTACCCACTACAGCTGGGTAAAAAATTAGCTGGAATGGAGGTGCCAATGCTGGATTTAGAAGATAAGTGTTATCTCATCATTATGTCTCAAAATAAAAGTGAGAAGGATGCAAGAGGACTACTCTGCCAGTGCCCATTGCCTTGCGTAAAGAAATCCTCGATGTGAAATGTGCAGAGCTAATAGGATTTTATTCAACCATTTTGACAGTCCAAAAAAAAAAATTCCCTGCGTTATATTGTAGTAATATATCTTGTACTGTATTTCAGGATATTACCAATGTAATGTGGTGGTTATGATTTCATTGCGTTTTTCAAGTAGTATTATTCTGAGTTTGGGTTGCTAATTAATTTCAAACAGGCTAGTTGTAAATAAAGTCTTTCACAAAATCGTGTAAAAATCATGTAAAATTTTGCATGGGCAGAACTATTAATGATGTGACATCCGCAACATTTTCTTTGTATTTGTAGTTTTATTAGCCTTACACGAATGCAGATACTGTGACTCGACTCTGACATTTCAAGGGTAATCAGCGTAATTAAATACACGCTAAAATAATCCGGTTTGAAAATAATTACAGCTTTTAGGTATGTGCAGAACTGACCTTCAAGTTAATTGCAGATTATGGCCACTAATTGAAATAAACTAATTTATTTGATGAAAACTAATTCTGTGCATGTGTTTTAATGCATTTAGCGCATGTATGTGTAAGTCGTAACTTTATTAAAGCCACAAGGACTTGCGCCAGTTACTGCAGTGCTTTTTTTATTTATCTCTTTATTTAGTTTATTTATTTATTCTAAATAAATTGTAGAAGACTGTGAATAGGACATTTTTCGCTTTTCAGGTATTTATACCATAATAATTTCTAAATGAAGACCTACAGGTAAAATAATAGCCCAACGGACCCATGTGTGACAAACACCTTGAATCATTTACTGTTATTGTTGCTACTCGTTCCCTAGTGAGTCCTTAGATAGTCTTCTGTCAGCATTCTGTGAAAGTCATGTAGATCACTCAGCTAACTGAAATAGTGTTAACACTTTAAATGCACATTATGTCCTCCAGTTTATAACCTTCATATGTAACCTCCATTCATGCAAAAAAAAATTTTTGTTCCGGTTGGTGTGCAGCGATTGTATCTCTGGGTAAGCATGCTAATTCCTAACATGCTGAAATTTGGCCTTTCGTAAACATTACCCAGACCTGGTGCTCAGTTCCAGCCAAATCAAACATTTAGAGAAAATAAAATGAAAAAAGCATTTGGCATACCGGTGTTGTGCAGCACTGAGAGTTGAATTGAGAATGTCGACTTCAATGCTCTGCCATGACGCTTTAGGCTTGACGTCAACTAGTCGCTGGTCCTATAGAGGGCGCACAGGATAATACATTTTTGAAGGACTTCCACATTTATGCTTCGTTTCCAAACAGTTAAAATTACAAATAAATGCATACTCTGAAAGCGCTCCACAAGACATGTGATTATATTACTGGATGCTCGAAATTAAACAGGAGAATGCACGTTTTAAACAGCTTATTGTACAGGTAAGTTAATCGCCGTTCTAATCTAATGCGCTGCTGCACTGTAATGCACACACATTACAGACAGTAGCTCGCACATCACGCACACATCGCGAGCACACAGAATCATTCAGCACGTAAATGTATTGTCAACACTGTTCTGTGATTTCTCAATAAAATAGCTTAGAAACTGAAAGGTTCAAGCATATATTTCTTAATAACTAAATCCCACAGCTTCACTGCTAGTAGAAAGACGCCGCCAGGTAGAATTAATTCACACACGCAATCGCTCTCAATGCATTCATATGAATATAATCTTTAACTGTGCTACTTTATCTGTATCTGACTTAGAACGAGCAGAAATCTGTGAGAAATATAACGACTTAAAGACAAAAGAACTGATAAAAAAAAGCTGTTATAGGAGCAACAGCCATGTGGGCAGCGCTGTGTCATATGCCATAGCT